ATGACTCTTTTTTCGTGTTAGGCATGAATTAGAACTACTTCTGTTAAAATCCCATTAATTTATAAGTTATTAAGCCATACACAGCCAAATATTTTTATCAATACTCATTTTCACACTTTATTTTGGTCCATGCTAGACGCACAGAACAGGAAAATCCAAAGAAGTCAATGCTGACATTAAAGGGTACCATCTAAAGCCACTCATATAGTTAAAGAAACTCTTACATAACACAGCTCTAAACCACCTTGCACACACTACGCAAAAAAAGTTCAAGCCAAAGGCAGCCTGCAATGCAGTAATTGTAAAATCCACAAAAATAAGTGGAAAAACATTAATAAGCCTCTGTAAGAATACCAAGGCCTCACATTTACACTGTTACCACCATCTTAAAGTGGAAATTAGGCTAAGAACACTACACGTTCTTAGAAATCAGCCTGATGTTAACGTCTTGCACACCCTTTCAGCACAGAGGATTCTTTATAAATACATACTTAATACTAATTGCTAATAGACTTTATTCCCTTAAAAAGTAATCTTAGAGACAGAACCTGCCTTCTTTCAAAACAAGCAGACAGAGCAAGACTTGTTTTCTTTGACTAAACTGCCATGCCATGCCCCTTGTAGCTTCCCTCAATACACCTGGCATGTTCATCTAAAACTTTTCCAGTGTGTTTAAAAACTTTCACAGTATTTAGATAGCAGCCTCACAGACCCATGTTTGCCCTCACTGCACATAACAGAAATCAGTCAAAAGTCATGACGGCTTGCCACAATTTCAGTAACTGAATTCTGACAAGTGACTCTGAATTTACCCCAGAAACCTGCCAAATCTGCGGGAATTAAAAATTCACAATTTGCCTCATATATGTGAATATTTTGCCCTTTTTGGGTTGCACCTACAAATGGACAGAAATCTATTTTCTCAGTGTAATCATACATTTCTAAAGCACAAAGGGGTACTCCAGAGGCATGTAAAGTGTGATAATTTCAATTAAATTCATGAAGAATGAGAATTTATGCCAAAGAGTTTGCCTATGCTGGCTCAAAACTTGCTGCTGAAAATGATATATATTTGCTAACCCAATGCATTTTCCACTGTCCAGCAGCTAGTTAAGAAGATTAATGACCGCTTTGTAGCTCCAATTAAACTCCTTTATCACCAAGAGGGACCAAACAAGTTTTGATTTCAAAAGTACTGCTTAAGAAAGAAGACCAGGGCTGCATAACACTGACATTTTATTAGAATTCATTTGTAACAAATGGAACTTGTGTCAGCAAAGAACTGATTTTCATACAGACTTTCTGTTGCCACCAATGTAACGAAGTAAGAAAATAAAAAGCACGCCTTTCATTCTGTAAAACATTTACGCGTACTACTAATTAGAGGTAATTGTATCTTTTTTAACAAGCCATTTTACAAGGTAATTTTTTTAAATTTTTCAGTCTATGCATCCAAAACAAGAGCAAAGAACACAAGTTTTTATTATCTTTGTAAAGACACTCCAAGCTTGAATGGCAAAGCCACATAATGGATGGTTATAATGAGACCTGCAGCCTTCTGATATCTGTGGAGTATCAGGGCATCAAGAAAAGAAAAAAAAAAAAGAAAGGCAAAAAAAGAGAAAAAAAGAAAAAAAAAGAAAAATGGAAGAGAATAAAAGGGAAAAAAAGCAGTTGCCTTTTTAAGTAATTGCAAACTTTTTTTTTCCTTTTTACATGTTCCGTGTCATTTAAATACATATTAGTGGATTTTATAAGCAGTTTCTCACAGATGGGTTCAAGTTATAACATTGTTGGGTGTAGAATCAATAGGGCAGTGCATAGTACAAAGGTATATATAGAAAGTGCAAATCTCCTTAGAGGGCCACTCCTTCCCCCAGCCATCCTCTCCACTGTCTAACCACTCAAATAATTTTTTAAAAAAGAGCTAAATTAAACTTCTGTATAAACCATTTTTATATATTTTGTGGTTTTTTTCCCCGTTGCAACTAATTACAAAATTAGACATAACTACACATATAAACGTAAATAATAGCACCGTATTGGTTATGTTGATGAAACCAATTTTAAGCTTGGAAATGTATGATGCATGTAGACAAAGATGCTCACGTTTTAAATTAACCACAGAATGCACATATAAGAATACAGAAAGTGGAATGCACATCAATGATGCTAAGAGTTATCTTAAGAAACACAAACCCTAAAAGGAGTATTTAGTTGTAGAACAGTTTTCCTCACAAGTTGGTTCTGCTTTTTTGTATTTTTTTTTTATTCCCTTATTTTCTTTGGAGCTTGCAAGATGGTCTGCTAGGGAAAAATGTGCTGATCCTTTTACAGATCCAGTATGTAAGAACCTCCCCTAGTCTATGTTTCCAAAATGACACTTCTTTTATTTTTGTGTTTTTCTGATTCCCTATACTTGAGTTGAAGAACATAACCACATTACATAACCTGGCACTTCAATAATTACTTTAAAGTATAAATCAAGAAAGAAGAAGAGAAAGAAACATAGCGCACATTCTTCTCTGGTTCAGACGTAAGTTATAGAATCTCATTCTGAGGTAGCCTTCTATAATACTTCTATTCTTATATATATATATATGTATATATATATATATATTTGTTTTGATTTTTTTGGTTGGGTTTTTTTTTCATTACAAAAGTGCTCAAATGCAATTGCTGAAGTTTGGTCTTTCGTATTTTTCTTTCTGCTAGCAGTGGGAAAATTGGAAGAAGAAGAAAAAATGTTTAGATCACATTGACAAGCCATAGCAATGCTCCTCTTTGAAACCCCAAAGAAAGAATTCCTTTGATACTCATGTACTGACAATGGCAGAACACACAATGGAAACTGAGGTCAATGTAAATGGTATCCTATAAAGAGTCTCAAAAAGTACTTTTTGCTGTTTACAAAATTTTCCTTGTTTCCTGGAAGAAAATCTACTGTCATTCTCCAATATGTCCTGGGGGCTCAGTCTTGTTAGCCTTCCATGAACCTTCCCACTGAAAGCAATGGTTTGACTCTAGCGATCTGTTGACACAAGTGAATAAGCAGGACTTGGCCCAAAATAAATTATAAAAAAAAAAAAAAAGAAAAAAAAAAGATGCACTGCTGATGTCAACTACTGCTACTGTACTGCTACATCTCTGCAATGATAATACTATAACCAGTGACACAGTGGGTTTGAAAAGCCAACCAGAAACAGATTTTCAATTTGTGGGCTGGTCTGTTATTGGAAATATGGAAAGATAAAGGGCCTTGACTACCTATGTGTTTTGGGTTATCATTTATTACCATCCATACTTGATTAGAAACCGGAAATGCATATTTTTCAAAATTGTCTGGTACATGTATTAAAACGTTTGAAACGAATAACAGAGATATAAACAAACGGAACTAAATACAAATGAAGGCTAACTTAAAGAAATGCTATTCAAAATAGGCATCAAATATAAGGCACTCTAAATGTAAAATTAAAATAAACCCCAGCATCCCCAAATAATGCTGTATGCCACAAAACGTTTGATTTCACAGAGCAATATGTGTTTGGCTTTGCCCTGTTACATAGGATAAATGTAAATTATATAGCGCACACTATAGACAGTATACTATTGAATACAATTTTAAAACATCTTAATACCTAGTATATTACAACATTCTCCCCTCCTAAAGGGATATGCACTGACCTTTCCCACATGCACACCTCCTACATTTAATAATATGATTTCTTATTGCACTATAGTGTTACAAATATTGAACTTCACTTGAAGCCTAAATCACATACTCTGTGTGCGTGTGTGCATGTGTGTGCATGTGTATGTGTGCATGTGTGTGTGCTCAAGTGGACATGTGGACAGAAGTACTAATTGGGAAAGAGATGATGTTCAAATATCAATGATGTGCATTCCTCACTTCCCTTTGAAACAAAGGTTTATGGACCTTAAAAATGCAGAGATGATCAAATAGTAGTTTGATATAATTGTAGTAGGCTGAAAAAGTTTCCCAATGCTTTGATAAATCCAGGTATGTAAGAATTGGTATGTTTATACGCATGTGTGTGAATATCTATCCATCTGTACCTCTGTAACCATACAGAGTCAGACAGGGGTAGACAGTAATACATAACATATATATATAGAAAAAGAGGGGGTGTGAGTGTGCATGTGCATATGTGTGCGTGTGTGTGTATGTGCTAGCAGCATCTTTATACTTTGCGCCTCCCTGTTGATTCCAAAAGAAACCATTTTGATTTAACTGATTACAATGAATATTTTCTTAAAGAAAAAAACCACAAATAAAACTATAAAATTAATATCTAACAAGACTGTGTAACTGTAGGACTGCACAAAAATGTGCAAATTTTCAAAGTATTTAACATTTCTACAGCACGATATTACAGATAACAGTTCTACAGCTTAAAAAAAAATCTACATTATTTAAACAAAAATATTAACAGTTATGCAACCTTTTCTTTAATTCACTTCATTGAATGATAAACTCTTGTTAAAAAAAGGAAAAAGTTTACACAGTTAAAAATGAAGCACAGGTCAGCAGTATCTTTACAATACTAAAAAACTAAATCAAGGACTTTCTTTTTAAACATTCCCACATTTTCCCTAAAGTGTTATGATGAGCATTATGACGGGAAAGGGTGATGTTGAAGTAAAGAGTCCATTTTGTTTGAGAAGCCAGGACCCAACCTTGCAACAAACATCTTGCACTGAACTGCAGTTCTCAAAACTCCTCTTTGCAAAAGCATGTAATCCTGAACAAGATGATAATTTTTTTTGATTAATTTCCTCTTCCCTTTAACTTCAACCAATGTCGAACCCTTGAGGTATCTGTATATGAGATCCTTCAGACGCCTCAGTGGTCAGGATTCTTTTATTATGGTTAGGTTATTAAACTGTGAATTCTTGGTCCACATGGAACAGTTGTTGTTGGGTGGGGTTCTTTTTTGTTGTTTTTTTTGTTTTATATATCCCCAATATTTTTGTTCATTTTTTTAAATTTATTTTATATATCCCCAATAATTGCTCCTTAGCTAAGAGTTAAGAAGTACTTCTAAAGCACATTGTATGGCTCAGAAGCGGCTCTATGGATCTTAAAGGGCCTGCAATAAAAATCCACAATGGGTTTTTATGTTGCATAGTGATCAAAGCTGCCCAGATATTCCAGTGCGGCTCGATAGCAGAACTGGTATTGATCCTGGAAAGAAAGATAGAAAAAAAAAGCATCAAAAAGTCAGCTTTTTTGGTTGGTTTTTAGTTTCCTTCAACTAAAAGTGAATACTTTGTGGCTACAAACAAATACACCACAGAGACATCTGCAGTTCAGCAATGTTCACTCGCTAACATCAACAGAAAACCACTGTGAGTTGCAACAGATGCAGATAGACGCTCATTTAATGCAATAGTATTTTCCACAGATTGCAGCTTATTTTTGTGCAGAGACTATATACTCAACTACTGACTGTTTGTTATTCTGGATTAAAACAATATCAGCATAAAGCTTTCTTCTGATGGGAACATGCGAAGGTGCTTTTCCCCCATGTATTTGAAAATAAGTAGCAAAATATTCAATTTATTCTACAGCAAATACAACACACTACGTGATAAAGTTCATCAGAGTCTTAATACGGAATGTCATATGGAAAACCATCAGCTTAAAATTCATGTTAAGGAAGCAAAGGGAATCCCAACCTTTCAGTTACACAGGTTTTGATGAAGATGTGAAGATACCTTAAGCCTGTGGCAAGAAAAGGTGCTAAAAGAGCAATAGGCAGCTAAAGCACCTTATTCACATAAAACAGACTGCATTTCAACCTATGCCTGGAAGAAGAAAGAATTTTAGTGTGGTGAGAAATTCACTTATTCCTCTGATGAAACCAACATTTGGTATTTTGTGTTCTTCCCACCTCCATAAAGCAGTCCTTTTGCACAGTTATGTTATGTTGCACACTTACACTAAAATGGAACATCTGTGTCCTCATTTGCCACTCCCATTCAGGGTTTAAATGGTAAAAAAAGAAAAAAAGGAAAAAAAAATAAAAGAAATTGCTACAAAATATCAAGGACGCCTGCTTATTTATCTGATAGTGCTGTGTGTTAACCCTACATAGGTTGCACTTGTTAAGGTAATAATTAAAATTCTTGTGGAGGCCAGGAAACTAAACAGATATTTGTTTCACTGAGATGGTGTGATCACTAATTTTTCATTTCTGTTAGTTGGAATAATCGGAACAGTGGCAGAATGCATTACACATATGCCTAAATTATAAGTGTATGTGTGGTCCACATGGAGTTCAAGTGCTTTGTTGAATAAGGATTAGATTTCCTGGCAGTTTATACCACTGAACAAGAGATTTGTTTTCCACAGAATCCTGAAAGAAATGAGTACACAACACTTCTGCTTGCAGCAGTGGGGATGAAGGGTGCATACAGAAATAAGTCAAAGCAGGGGGAGGGAGAATATATTGTGGAATTGAACTCTGTCAGGTAGGCTCAAAGAAGCATAGCTGTTCTGTATACTGTAGTTATTTCTTGGAGCTAAAAATGACAGAAAGTAGTCATTTTTCATTTTGCTTATCCAGAAAAATGATGATAATGGAAAAGAAATGGAATTAACTCTTCAGTTTGGTCATAGTGATTTGCTTGGCTAACTGACAAGATTAAAAATAAGTATCTGTATTTTTCATATAAGTTTTTATGAAGTTGTCTTTTTAAAAATAGGACTACCCAGCTTCTATTGAACAAGTTTAATTTTCTTAAGGGAAATGGTAAACTCTGGGGAACCATTTTAAATTTCAGAGACTGTAATTTAAAGGCCAGTGTCAATCAAATGATACTAAATAAATGTACGACCTAAAATGTTTCCCTTCTCTTGCCCTTTTTCTTGGTTTTCCTAACCGATTGCCTCTGGCTTAGTTCAGGTCTTCTGCTCAGAAATTAAAGTATAAATTAAGCACAGCATTAACTGATAATGTTTAGACATTCTTTATAATGTGACACATGTAATCAGTTGATACTGCTTATCCCTTTATTTCTCTATGTCACTCTTGCTAGCACAGAAATTATAGTTCTGAACAAGGAATTTAACGTTATGATTTTCAGGCCAAACAGCCACTTGCTTGGTGACACAAAGTCAAGAAAAACATGAAAATAATACAGCATCAGTCTGAAAACATGATCAAACACCTAGCTCCCAAACAACAACAACAAAATAATCAGTGGATCCACCTGCAGAAATGATTTGCCACCTTCTTTATCACTACACATTTCTGTCACGAAACAGTGCTCAAATAAAAATGGGTGATACTTCACAAATGGTTTTTCTCAACTACCATAACTTAGATTCCACTATTGAAACGATTTTTTTCTTCCCCAGTCTGCAGTAACTAGTGCTGTAACAGGAAATAAGTCCTTGCAGTACCTTTAGGGCAGAATTTAGCCTGTAGTCATATGGTCATTATATGACTTCAGATATAAATGTAAGCACATTTTATACAGTCTCAAACTGTGCATTTTTTTGTTATTGTGTAAATACTACTTGCCACTGGCTGCTGCATGAGAGGAGCCCCAAAGAGAAGATACGAGGACTCCCTGAAACAACATCTCAGCCTTGGCCAGATTGATCATCATAACTGGTCTACTCTGGCCTCCAGTTGGGAGGTCTGGAGACACACCATCTATAACGCTGCTGATGCTTTTGAGAAAGCACACAGGATCACTCTTGAGGAGAAAAGGCAATGCAGAAAGATTTGTGCCCTGCAGAATATACCACCTAAGGAGTCTTTCTGCTGTGCCTTTTGCAACTGAATGTCCCTGTCTCGTATTGGCCTTTTTAGCCACCAGCACGCTTGTAACAAGCGTGGGTAGAGCCCTTCCCAAATCTTCGTTTGCGAAGCCCAGCCATGATGTAAATACTGCTTCTTTTCCCTCACTATTGTACATGGATACTGTTTTGCTCACCTCTGTCTGTACCATGGCTGGCCGCTGTGTCCGTAACATTTTGACAGTCTGGAAGATGTCTACAACACCTTCATATCTCATTCTTTCTAATACAATGCTCAGGGTTATGAATACTCCAGTCCTTCCAACACCCGCACTGTTGCAATAAAGGAAAAAAATAAAAGGAAAAAATGGATGTTAATTTACAGTTAATGCTGAAAGAATTGGTTGACAAATTATCTGTGGTTACAACACACCATATGTGCACAAATTTCTATATGGTGAAAGGCTCACTAAGCAAAATTCCACTGCAAATTACCACATTGCATTCAAAAGAATAACTGCACTCAAGCAAATTTTATGTGCTACTAAGTATGTCTGACTCTTCAGTCTTCCTTGCAAAGTGACTTGGTTTTTCATCCAGACACACAATAATCAGTGCCTGCTGAAGTAAATGAGAACATTTGTTACCAATAACATACATTGGAAGTGACAAAAGAAAAAGAAGCCAAAATGCATTTTACTGCTTGCTTTACTTTAGCTTGTTCATGTATATACCTTATTTTGCACATTTTCAGTGTGTTATTTTACCTTCTACTTCGAGTTAGAAATAGTGGATGTTCAATTAATATCGAACTTTTGCATGCACACTCCAACTTAAGGGATACACAAAAATCTCAAGACAGCTTTTATTCAAGTCTGGCAGTTGATCTTTGCTTTCCAATGCTGATATTCAGATGCTATGTCTGTCTTTATCAGTCTTATTTATCTTCTTTGAACATATATGGCTTGTTTGATCTCTGTTCTGTCTTGAGTTTCTGCTATTAGCTTCAATCCTCAAGAAGTGATGAAAATTCTTGTAATCAATAGAGGCAATAGCTGTCAGCTTTTAAAATTAAATAATCACTTATTCATAAAGATTACCCTTGGTCAAAGTGACAGGTAACTGCAGAGAAAAAAAAGATTTTCCAAGTCTGAACTTCTGTGTGTGAAAATTAAGCACTCTGTCATCTTGCTTTTGATATCAATAATTTCACAAGGTTTTCTCCAGGCAGACAAACTTGGGAAGCTGAATATTTATGAGACCTATTCACCAGACAGGAGAGTGGAAGAACATGAACAGAAGGTAAAACCTGAAGAACTCTGAATGTTCATATGAACTATAACAGAGAACCAGTGAATTCACAAAACTAGTGTGGAATGTCCAAATTAACAGTATTTTAGTGTTTGGCCTAGATTAGTGTACTTTTAGGGCTAATAAACATATGTGATTGGATTTATCAATTTTGCATAGCCTGTGCGCCTTCAAATTGCTGAAGCCAAAGGATAACTGACACAACACTTGAGAAAATATCATGCTGTCATTGCTGATTACCTGTACGGGATGACAGCAGGCCTGGACATCTAAAGCAATTGCAGTGTAAGCTCTCCTTTCCCTCATGAGGTAAATTAGAAAGATAATATTTAAGAAACATTCTGAAATATCCTGGAAAAACGTCGTTGGAACCTGCTTGGACTTTACAGAGCTGATGACAGCATGATCTAAACCAAGTAGCCCAGAATGAATAAATCAGCAGAATGAAGGCAGATTACTATTTTATTTTCTCCTTGTTCCTGCTCCTGCTCCACTATTTAAAAACATCCAACAAAAAAAGTATGATTTTCTTAATTGGTGAGAGGACTTCTGGCCTCACATATTAGAAAAGTCTTCATTATTTGAAAAAAATGACTCAGAACTCTTGAGTTAACAAAAGGAAGGAATTTATTTTTTGTCTTGTGTTCTTAAGAAATTCACAAGTATCTGGAGATGCCACTTAACAGGGAAGAGAGACTAATATGGAAAGATCTCAGTGCCTGCAAATGTTACTCAGCCTAGAGGCTGGTGCAAAACTAGTTATCAAGTGTGATGTTTTCAGAAAAGCCTGTAGGAAACTGATCCTGTTCCCCTGAGACTGGCCAGCATATTTTAACACGGCAACAGTTCCTATCAAAAAATGCTTAGGATTTCTAAAGAGTGAAGGCACTACTTCATGATGCAGTATGGTTACAGAAGTTCAAACAGTTAGAAACCAAAGTTAGGATGCTTTAATTAGGCATGAGAAAGTATCAATATTTTTGTAAGGGAGAAGAGATTGTTACTACAAATACATCTTGAATGCATTCTGAGAAAACTTGGTCTTCCTCACTGTCCAGCTAAAACCTGGAATAAGATGACTATAAATATGTAATATTGGTTGAAGTGAAAATTTTGCTTAAAGGTGAACAATCCTTTGCTCTCTCAAATATTTTTAATTATCTGCCTAATAAGGTTGGAAATTTTTAAATTCAACACTCTGACCTAGTTGTAAAAACACCAGGGAAGGGAAAAATTTAAAATTGTGAGTGGAATAGGTTTACTGTGTAGCAGAGAAAGCAAGCTTGTGAAAACTACAGAGAGGGAAGAAAATCAAAAGGAAGTGGCACTAGCAGAGTTTTACTTCACTTTAAAACTCATCATGGTACAAACTGGAGGCATTATTACAGTAATTATACCAAGACTAGGAAAGTGCAGTTGTCCAGGATCTTGTACTTCCTGAAAGAAACAAATAAACTTACTAGTTTGCTAGGGACAGCTCCTACTTATGTAAGTTGACTAACACTGATAGTGATGATCAGCATTATCACTCCCTAAATTGTCATTACAATGATGATAAAGACATTAAAGACCAAGCCCTGGATAGTTACACCAGAATTGACTGTTTCTACCAAAGTCAATGGTATGAATCTCCATAATTTTAGCATGAAAGATCCTATCCATTTGGAAGGCCTATATAACATACTGCAAACAGTATTCATTGCAGTCACAAGCGGACAAGTTTGCATGGTACAAAGAACTTAGAAAGCATCACTTTGCTTTCTTATCTGCATAAAGGCATAAATATTGCTTATTATTCCTGTGCTTTCAAAACTAATTAATATTGTATTCTTATCAGGATTGTCCTTCATTTTCCCCTGCCAAATGAATCCCAACCACTGCTCTGCAATGCTATTCTCCTAGCAGTCCATAAAAAATTTTAGGCACTTAAAAAAAGTAGGATTCGAGTAGTCCAATACATTTATTATGTCAGTCTTTCCCCTTCATGATTAGGGGATCATGAAGAACTCAACTTCTAGTTGCTCCCGACTTTGGAAGGATGAGAATCTCTCTCCCTCTGTACATTCATAGACTCTAGAAAACTCATTTGCTTTGTCTTTACGCTAGTATTGGGGCATTACTTGGCTTGCAGTAAGGACCTGGAACTTGCATCAGTATTTTGTATCTCTGTTATATAAATAATAATATTTAATCTCCCCAAAATAATTTCATATTACAAAAATGACTATCTAAAATCCTAATGGAATTTATAGAAAACAATTTATTAAATAAGAGATAAAGGACAAAGATATTATTTTTGTCCATCTGCTATGGAGTCTAGAGAGAGTCTTTCTTACTGTAAAGAAAATAAATAAAAAACACAAGAATATTAAAAAGCCCTGCAAGCTGTTTTCATCTGCATATCAACTGTAAAGGAATTGAGGGAAGTCATCGCATCAAAAAATGAGCATTAGGTTCTGAAGTTAGAACTCATCAACCCAAACCTCAATGATTTTTTGACAGGCAAAGTTTCTAAACACCACTTTCTATTCCATTCCCTTTCTTGATATAGCTACCACTTTTAATTGTCTCATCTTGATAGCTACTAATGTGCTACTGAGGTGTAACTAGCTTGATTGCGGGTAATAATCCCCATGAAAGTAACAGCCTTGCTTTTAATTTCCAGTGGAAAAAATATCAGGTATAGCAGCCTGTGATAAGGCTCTTCCTATGCCTTCTGTGTGCAGCATTGACCAGATTGCTTTTACACTGCATTAGAGACATTTATAAGTGAAGAAAAAATCATGGGCTTCCACGTATTTCTGAAAAACATTTCTGTGCAAACGGAATATCACAGAGCAGTTCCCATTTTGTAAAGCACTTCATTGTGTTCCTTTTTAGATCTTCTATTTGAATACGTTTTCTGATAGTTCACCTCTGAAATTCTTTTTAAATATATACCTTTGTCAAATTCAGCAATCATGTTTAGAAAAAAACCAAATCTGCATATCAGTTCTTTTTAGGCTTTGTTTACTTACCTGCAATGAACAGAAATTGGTCCATCCTGACCAAATTGCTCTTTTGTTTTATGCACTTGGCCTATGAAGTCAATAAATCCTTCTCCAGACTTTGGCACTCCTTGCTCTGGCCAGTCAGTGAACTGGAACTGCCTCACTGTTCGGGACTGGCCATCCTTTAACAAAAGACACAAATAATGTATCACTACAGGATATTGCAGTCAGTCAGCTTGAAGTCAGTCAGCCAATAATCATAAAGACAATCACAAAGCAAGGACATTGAGAGAAGCTGGGGAATGGCTAAGATCAGACTTATGAAAATTCTTTCAATTGCAGTACTGGATGGAGCTTTTGTAGACACTGGCCTGGATGTGTAGTTTCATTAACGGCATTGCATGGATTCCCTTCTCCACTGCATAGGAGAGGTGTCTGACAGTCTGTGTAAAAAGTGTGTCTGAGGCTAAAGGCAAAAAAACCCCACCAGGTTATATGACTTTTCTGGTAAGTTATGTTTTGATTCCAGAAGACTGCCAATTCCTTTAAATACAAATCAAGAAGAATAAGGTCATCCAATCTGACTTTCCATTTCCTAGATGGCAGGAATATCTTTACTGATAACACTTGTTTAATCATTGCCCTCCTTGCATATGGTATTTTAACAGTATGCTGCTTTCTATGATGTGGACATTTCGCCTGAAAGAAGACTGGTCGAAACAAGCCGGTTGTTGAATAAACTAAAAATTTCCCTTCAGTAATTGTTAATTTAATTCACCAAACAGCTTGGAGTCAGTTAAAATTGAGAAGAAGGGCTTACTTTTTCAAAACAAGCCATCTGAAGCTCTTCATTCCCTGTGGTTAGGAATACCATTGTTTAAAACTGCAGAATACTGCAGCATGGTTATTTTTTATAACAGGGCCACTGGAATTATTAAGTGCTGACTCCTGCTGTATGTCTATTCAATGTGTAAAAAGTAAGGACACAGAAAAAATGCAATACAAATGGATAAAGTAAATTTGTTCTGCATTTTCAAACACTGTGCATGATGATTTTGACACTGTCAATCTGTACAGCTGAAATACTTAACAGCATGGGTATATGGGCTATGGATGTTAACTGGTGCCTCTGGACATCATGTTTCCTAAGCATTCACCCTGCCATGTCTTCAAAATGGTCTTCTATTAAGTGAAACTCATGAAAAATTGAAATCATTACTGGAGATTCCCCCCCAAAAGCAACAAGTTATGCTGGAGGCAAGAACAATCTTTCTCTTTTTTTCTCTCTACCACAAACACTCAGCTATTACAGATCTTTGAAATGAAATAGAAGGGATTTTAAAAATAACCAAAAGAAAATCCAATAGTTTGCTTCTATGTTTCCTCTGGTATTGTGGGTGTTTGCCTCCTATGTCTCAGATGAATAAGGAAAACAGAAAAAGCATGTGTGTGCCAGGCACTGCTCCGTGAGAGGACACACATACTGCCTACTTCCACTAGACCACTGTGACAATTCAGTAGTCTACTTCTGTGATATGCCTTTCACCAAATAAAAAAAAATGAAATGTTTAAAAACATTCACCCAATTTGATTTCTTGTGGTCATCAACAAAAAGAACAAATATTTCCTTCTAAAATAGCATTTTCTTAATATAAACTTCTCTAATCATGGTCTCTGTGATCCCATTTTCCTCCATGAACAAATAATGAAATTACATCCTTCAGATAGCCTTAGGTACATGACATCAATTAATCAGGAAGACATAGCAATAGGTTGATTCCCTACAAAATAACCTTTCATTCTTCTAAAGTAAAGAAAGAAAACCTGAAATTTTACTTACTTGCAACAAGTTGGTTACAGAGATGGGACTCTTCAGCAATTTCACACCCTGATAGGATTTATACTATACCAACAGTAACTTTTTTGGGGTAGAAAAGACACCACCTTACTTAAGTCCAATCTGTCATTGCAAAGACCACACATTACTATTTGATAAATAGATTTAATGGCAAATATTTGGGTTTTGTGTGTGTCTAAATCAACTGTATTGGTATGCTTCATGATTTTAGTCACTCAATATTCCAATAGAAGTCTGTGAAATGACAATAACTTCTGTTATTTAAAGTATTTTAATGAGCAGAGAAGTAAAGTTATTTAGTCTATGTCTATAGCTTTAAAGCACATTGGGAACTGATCTACAATTTCTTACAGTACCCTCTGCTACTGACATTATAAACAGTGCTGATTTCTTTTAATGAGATTTTTGCCAACAGCAGTCCAAATACAAATGCCAAATTTTATTAAAATCTTTACTTTCAAATATTGTGACAGTTTACACAGTTAGTTATCAAAATAAGTACTTTCAGATACCTATGTGGCTTTTAATGTATAATCCTATTGATTGGCTGACCGTTTGGATTTCTTCTTGCTCCTCACAGGGGAGCATTGTCTTTTGATTAGGCTGTAGAATTTTTAACACTCTCTTACAGCCACCACTAATAGTTTGGCTTTAAATGAGACTGGCCCACCATATTGACCTCTCCAGTTTACAGAGAAAGTGAGTACAAAGCAGTTAGAAGCAGTAGATTGAAACAGTTACAGAGGTCAATTTCACTGTACAACAATTCATAGTTCAGTTTCAGAAATAACAGGGAATTCCACACCAAACACTTGCTGCTGGCACCTGCAAAGGCAACATGCCTCATTTTTTGTCTGTATGGAATTATTGGTCAGCTTCGCTCTGCCAGAGCATGGATGGTATTCTAACAGTATGGATGCACTTGGAGATGAAAGGGAGAGAGGATGATTACAACCACTGCAGCATCTACTCTTCTTTGAATGCAACAATTTAGTCAGATGATCTCAATTACTGGGTGTGACAGCCACAAAAGCCAAACTATAGGAAGAATATAATGTACATTTTAGTAAGTAGTTCCCATTTCTTCTGGTAAAGGAGCTACATTTTCCCAGCACATCTAGAAAATTTAGGATGGTACTGTCAGCTCACTGATGACTTTAACAAAACTTTTTGAATTTGAGGAGCAACAATATGTGACAGTAAAATGTCACAATAGGACTGTCAAAGTGCACATATGCTTGACGTTTTAAAAAGAGTTGCATTAATATCAGGTAAAAAAAAATAAAACTAGTTCTGGTAAATTTAGTTATTTGACCCTTTCAGACTTTTTACTGGCTTGATAGTTGTAAGTAAATAGATGTTCTTAAATATCCTACTTCAATATAAACTCTTGAAAAAACTATTTGGAAATATATTCTGTTTGCACTTCCAACTACAACTGTGGTTTTTTGTTATAACCATTATTTTGGGATCAGAGCTTGGCAAACTATGTCACAAAATACCTCTTCCAGCATGAGACAGAACAGATTTTTAATAGGTGATCTATGAAAACTATCAGCATATTTGTAGTGAAATTGGCTTTTACTATCCCTGCTTACAAGTGTGCTTAAAGACTGATGCTGGAAGACTGTTCTCCACTTTTGTGGTTCTTCACAAATAGGTTAGCAAAGCTATGAGTCATAGCTAGATCCTTACTAGATTTCAAACAGAATGAAAATCAGATCCAGAGTGTCTACAGTTTCTGTACAAAAAAACTACACCTAAATCTCATTTGCCAAATAAAAAGGTTCATATGCTGACTTGGTTAATGACAATACTATCCAGTTTTACTTGATGCTTAGATTAAAAGCAGCAGTCTCTCTAACTATGAGAATGTCTAATATTTTGGATGCTGACTGGCAACTCTTGAGTAGTCACTCATGCTATTCCTGGACAGTACATCCTGCTATTTTGATTTCCTACAGAAATGGAGGCTGATAGTGTGTTTTCCTGCCATGCAGACTAAAGTGCTAGAAATGAAAAGTCTGAGAAATGCCAAACATACATTAAAAGTTTATGTATATTTAATCTTATATCAGTGCTCAGTTTTGGACTCAGGAATTCAGATAAGAAATCCAGTATTAAAATGAGGATGCTAGGGTCACAGCTGCATGCATCTACTTTGCAGATAAACTAGAGTGCTGAAAATAAAATTATAATGTGCAAAGCTTGTCAAGCTTTTCTTATGAATGTCATTTGCTCTGCAGTTTTAAATCTCAATGTATTAACCTTCATACTCACTCAGCTTAGAGGATGGTGCAAAACAACGTATTTACTGCTGTAAGTAGCAGAAACTGTCCTCAGAAATCATCAATTGGGAAATCAGGAAAAAAAGGAAAATGGTTCTCAAATCATCTAATGTATTTTGGCACAAACAGTTGTTCAGAACTTTTCAAAGTTGTGCTGTCCAGATGCTAGATCTGAGTGAAGTCAATTGTTCCTCCAGAAAGATCCCATTCATTAATAATAACTTTACCTGCTTTTTTGTTATTGCTTGTAGAAAGTACAAGGGTTTTTTTAATAATAATAAAATTTAAAAAAAAAAAGATATAGGGAAAGAAAAAAATGGACATTTTCTTTCAAACTTCTGGGAACAAGTGTAATGCTATGTCAACTTACCCTTGCATCTGTAACCTTGAATTCCCTCAGAATATACTGTGGCATGTTGTACTCTGCCATTGGATCTACCACAAAATACTGATATCTGGCTGAGCGCTCTGCAGGCCAGTATTGGTGGCATTTTTCCTACAAAATGACAAAGTATAATACATTTCCTGTTACTTGAGAGCACTACCATAAGTCGGTATAAACCTTTTCTTACTCAGTTAAGTGTAATGTTCATGATAAGTGCCATTAGTGAGAGGAACATGAGATGCTCATGTTGGTGAGAACATTAAATTTCATATGTAGAGTAAAAGCTTATCTTTAATATGAGATTGCAGAGGTGTTCTCTCTGGTCACTGTGTTAGCTGAACTTGTTTACACTTCTGCTCAGTTTCATCATCTATCAGTGACAAGAGCTATGCATAGTCTAATTTTCAACATACATTTTTTTCCTTGATTTAAATCTTGAGACCACCTTCAGCTTTCTTTCTTTTTTCTTGTTGAAGCAAGCTGCCCCAGCCTCAGTCAAGACTCTATCTCTGCATCCACTAGCCATGTCCTGAATAATCTCTATTCCCTCATATACATGGCCTAACTCAGATTTTACTTATTACATGCCAGCTTTATCTTGATGTAATCCTGTCCAAATAGTAAACTGCTTGCCTCTTTCCAGTACACAGAGTGTCAATGGAATCAATTTAGAACTCTAAACTGGGTGCTGAAACTTTACCATTCAGAACAGAACATGCTTTCTTTTAACACTGTTACAAGGAGACCATGCAAAAGTTTCCAAATAAGAAATAATCTTTCTTTTTCAGTAGACAGCTTTCTCTGTATGCTTCGGAATATCAGCATGCAGACTCAGTTGCTGAATCTCATTGTGTCCCACAACAAAATCCTATGTCTAGTTTGTCTATTGCAACATATCAATAGATTGGAAAACCTTATAGCTAGTGACCAACAAGGCCACTGATATTTCAGCAGAAGGAACCTAAATTTTCTTTTTTGGACACTACTAACAATGAAATATTTTAATAAAAGGAACTGCTATAATCAACATCTTAGTAAAGGAATTTAGAGCAGTACTTACTCTGCCCATTTCTCGTAGCTTAGTGAGCATGACCACAATTGTAGAATTATGCTCCCAGAGCATTCTCCAGAAGTCTTCAGTTGTTTCTGCTAAAGGACCCTGTGTAGCTATGTAAGCTTTTTGTTGTCTGTGTTGAAAAAAAGTAAATTAATAATAATATTTTAATGAAAAAATAAATTGATACCCATGTCCTCTGTTTTTATGTAAGAATTATCTAGGGCAAAAATGTATATAGTATTAATAACAAGCACATTAAAGCCTTATTATGATTGTTTAAGCAAACTACGGATTTTTATTTTTAGAACTTTGAGAGGAAAATTACTCTGTTAATATTATGATGTATGTCTTTATCATTATTATTTAAATTTTAATGCAACTCTAATTGCTCAATTTGGTGTGCTGTAAAAAGCACTTAAGAAACACTTAGTCATGCTGGTTCATTTTGCAGAAATAACTGTCTAACAATCTATTAAGTTTAGGAATTACAGGATCAGGCAGTTTCTTTATTAACTCCTCTTCAACAATCTGATGCCTCCAGCACAAGTAAGGCAGGAAGAAAATTTGGGAATGGAGTGTACTATCTTTCCAGGCCTTAATATCCTACCAGTGGAAGCTACTACCAAGCTGCTAAAACCCCCAGGATCAGCAGCTTTATGAGATGATGACCAGTTCTTGTTCTCACTTCTTTCAATCAACAGAAACACCTCTGTGGGTGATAGTGGGTGATTGGTTGTTTACAGTTATGAACAGAGGCTCAGAAAATGATTTCTGTGGATAGGATACTTAGGTACACCTAAACTGCCTTAGGGAAACTATACCACTTCTCCTTTATGCCTTCTTCTACCAGCTGCTTGAGTCAGAGGAGGGCATATTGCTCTAAGTTGCCATGAAGATGCTGATGGGCAACACAACTGCTTGTGCATAAAATGCTCTTGGTGGTTAGGTCAAGTCTTGGCCAGTGTTACAAGATCATAGGTTATAACCTTGATACACAGACTCTATCTCCTGTATGTTATTTCTATGTATCGTTTTAAGCAGAATAATTGTGACGAAACAGAGGTTCCAAATCATGAATGTGCTTAAAATCTCAGTATCTTTCAGTATGTAAAGCATACTGGGAGTTCTCTGTGGCTTAAAGATAGGTAAAAATATTATGTTTAAGATTCTATGTAATTTACAGAATTTTTCTGTATTGCATGGGGTAAAAATCTGGACCTTTTATTAAAATTGTAAAAAACACCCAATCAAACATGGCAGGCACAGATAATAATAAACACTAATTTTCAATATTATACTAATTTTCAATATTAAGCTTTGTTATTTTCGATATCATTACATAAACAATTCTGTAAACTTTTAAAACAGTCCATACGAGAACACATCACTGTTAGTACCTGTATCCATCAATGAAACTGGCATTAATATAATCAGAGCCTTCTACTCCTCGGATAGGCTGCAAGCATACCCTTGTGGACTCATATGGCATAATATTGACAAGGCGATTTTTGAATTTATTACATGGAAGATTGGCACTGATGAATCTTGAAGTGTGAGCCTTAGAGCTAGCAAGACGCTGTTGAAAACAAATTAAAAGAATAAGGCTGGGTATAACAAAACAAATGACACTATCAGGTATTATAATCCCTGCTCATTATCCATTAATGAATAATTTCAATTTCAGTTGCTTACTTTTCCATATTCTACTGCATTATCTAAATATTTGTAAAGCTTCTTTCAACAGCTTATACAAGTTTGTGTCTGCTCCATTTATGCATAAGGACAAATTCCACCATTAAACCTCTATGCAAACACACGTTTCAAACTATAATAATAATAAAGGAACAGCAGGGTTAAATCACCCTCATTGAATGGTTCTTGTCTGGACACCCATTGAAGATAGAATTGTATGTTTCAGAAAGAACACTTCTTAATTTAAAATTTTAGTCTGCCAATGTCTTTATCATTTTATTATATTCCTGGATATATATTTTGACTATTTTTTATTTTATTATATTCCTGGATATATATTTTGACTATTTTTTAACATATTAACTAATAAATCTTTTATTCCTGGATATATATTTTGACTATTTTTTAACATATTAACTAATAAATCTTTTTATTTTTAACATATTAACTAATAAATCTTTTTATATATTACTGGAAACAACTGGTGGAGAACAGAGCAGCTTTAGGTGTTTTGGTTACCCGCAGCATAGAATCCCAGTACCTTAAATTCCAGTTCCATTCCTGTGACATTCTCGCCTGTTTCTATCTGTGTCAGCTTCTGGATATACGCATACAGGTTTCTGGCTGGCACTTCGGTATTTCCACATGTCACTGCTTCCAGCAGTGCATCGTGAATAAAGATGTATTGGTCCTCAGTTTGAACCATGTAATTCCTCTGTGCTCTCATTAGAGTTACGTGGCCATAAATATCTACAGTCTTTTCATGCTTTATTCGCTCTAACATGGCATCTATCACAATGAAGCAGCCAGTCCTGCCGACTCCAGCACTAAAAGAAATGAACACCGGAGAGAGAACATGAAGGACTTTTTCATTCACTGTGCTTATTTTCATGTCATTCAAGTTTTAAAGTTTTGTAACACTGATTTGAACTGCACATTTTTCTGAATATGAACATAAGATTTTATGAAAGACATTGGTGCCCTGAAACAAGTAAACTCCTTAAACGTCCATTGCAAGCAATTGAGAACGTGGAATGCTTTTATATGAGATCTTTGCACGCTGTGGTTTCAGGCTTAACTCTAATAGAAACAGAACACATTCCAACATGTTCTAAAAATATATATTTTATAAAATATAAATTTCCAATTCTTAGTAATGGAAATTACTGGAGATGATGAATGCTCTAAGAATTCAAACTTTGTCTGTAGAATGATTTCTAACTCACTAAACATGCTATTCTGTTTACAGAGGTGAATTTATTGGCAAAGAATAATGTTACAGAAAATGAGTCATATATATTTCCATCATGCTTTGGAGGTAAACTTTCTACCCCTCTCCCAACTCTGCCAATGGGGCTCCTATTAACACTGTTTGTTCTGTCCTCTGCCCTTTCATTTAGCCAGGACATACTGCTAGACTTTGCAATGCAGACTCTCGACTACACAGTTGTGCTAGCCATAGGCTGGTGAAATCCACCGGCTGTTTGGACACCAACTGTTCTGAATCAAATCAGATCGTCTTTTGGCAGCCATGTGTTAAGACTGAACTTAAGAAGTTTTGCTTCAACTACTTCCATGCATGTAACTATACAAAACACAAGTGTTGAGTGTAATGGGCTTTGCATATTTGTTTTCTCTCCAGGATTACATCATGCCTGTAAGAATGAATGATAGTTTCAGGTCTCCTAAATGCTTAACTGTTTTCAGCTAGTGACATGAAATGCAGTATGTAGTATAGTAAGCAACAGTTTATAAACCTCCAAGATACTGATATTAGCTAAGATAAGGATATTTAAGAACACCACAAACTGCAATTTTTTTAAAAGAAATAGAAACAAAAATAACTACAACTCGGCTTCTTGAGGACAATTATATAAAACCCAAAACTTCTCACATATTTTCTTGAGCTATTAAATATCTTAAGTCCATCCTGAAATTGATAAGCAAGGTTAAACATTTATTTCTTGCATGACACCTTAAGAATCTTTACCAGCTACCAGCTAGCTGCATTTACTTACAACTAAATCAGAAATAAGTACAGAACAGAAAGATATTTTATCTCACACAAGATAAGTTTTGTTTCTCAAATTGCCTATTTGTATATTGTTAATCATGTATTCCTATCACCAGCTAGCCTTCCAAGAAGCAGATTCCCTTCAAACAGCTGAAGACTTTTGCTAGCTGACCAAATGCATCAATGTCAGCTTTCTTACCTGCCACTCCAACAAGTATTAATCAATATTCTGTGTTTAAGAAAACTTACCAATCAATGACATTCATAAATGGGAGTTGTAGAGATGGAAAATACAAAGAGAAATAAAATGATGGCTATCCTAAACAGTAGTTAATTTACTTGTATAATTAAAGCTCTGCATTCCAGGAAAAATTGATGGCATTAACATTGCTAATATTCAGGACGAAAACCTCAAAAAGCTGTTGCACTATTCCTTTGGGTTTTTTCCTTATAATGGCAATGAAATCAACACAAGTAATATACGTTTGTATGTCAGATTGGTTAATATCAAGTTTTAAATAATTATTTAAATGACTACTCTTCACATTCAGTTTTTATCAGCATAACAAGTGCTGGCCAAGTGAGAAATATGAAGGTTTGACAGTGCAGATGTTCTCAGTAAAATCTCGATTATGGTTCTTTTTCCTATCATGTATTAATGAACTGCTGTTCCAGAACCATGTTTATAACAGGATATGCCATTTTCCAGATGAAACATTAAAAAGTTGACTGATACCTGCAGACCCCAACTGCAAAAGTCCACCCAATAAAAGGTTTGTACCTTCAGTTGGAAAAGGCAATTTTCAGTTCTTCTTTTCATGTCTTGTATTATCATTTATATATTTATTTTTCCAATAAGCAAACTCAAACAGGAATACTTATTAACATAGTCCAGCACAGAAGATATTTTCTAGTTTACAGGTCTATGCAGTGTTTGTAACAATCATGACACCAGATCCAAACACATTACTGTGCAGTAATTTCATGATCAGGATAGAGGGGTTGACACCCTACATTTATTAAGGCATTTGGCTTCAGTGGGCTCCTGACACACTTATCTCTGGATCATTTTATCCAGTAAGATATTTTACTATTTTAAGGCATTCAGGACATTCCAATTCTGCCTGTTATAAATGAGCTGTGTGTCTACCAGACTACCCTTTCCACATAAAAATGGAACCAAGGCCATGAAGATTTCAACTTTTCCTCTTTGAAACATGCCTTCCCAATACCTTCTAACTCTAAATTACAATAGCTCATTATATAAAAGCAAGAAACTATCATATCTTTATCCCCTGTTTCTCCTTCTCTTCTATCACACAGACTTCTTAATATAGTGTGATAACACTGCTGGGAAGCCATGCAGTTTGAATTCTCACTAATAAATTACTGAAACATAAAAAAAAAAAAAAAAATCCTTGTGTACTGTCTGCTAACCATGATAATTCAGCTAATAAGAATCATTTCACAAATTAATTCCACCTTTGTTATTGACTTTCTTGACCTTTTGGTTTGCCTCTTCTGGTGTTACTGTCAAACTTAGAATTTTAAAAAATAACCTGTCATTTCAGCTAGTGAAAGGTATGGTTGTGTTTGTAAGCTGAAAACCTAAGGAATCTATTACTAGGAAACTGTTATTGCTTAAAATATTGTCATTTACATTATTGTAACATTTGTTTTCAATTTCTAAAAACATGACTGACTCAGTCTCATGAGCTGAAACATGCTTAATGTCCTGTGATGCAATACAGCTACAATTCACGAAAAGAAAAATGAAGAGGCATAAGGGGGCCATTCTGCATTAAAATCACTGTATGGATGTGTTAAAGGTTGGCTTTTGTGATTAATTTGTAGCTGTTTAAATGATGACCCTTTACTGATATTTCAGTGGTTTGGCAAAAGAAGGTAGTGTAATTACCAATATTCACAGATCATTTAATTGGAAGCAAAGACAGTAAAATGTGGACCAAAAATCATGTAGGACATTTTTGACTCATATCAGGGGAAAATTTTATTGAATATTACTGTTTCAGATTGAATGAAGCCTGCATTTTTAAACTGAAAGTACCTAAAACTGCTTGTGATATGGGAAATATATAAAAAGCATGGATTTTTTTATGGAACTTCATGTGATTAATTAGATTCCAACCCTACAGAAATTCTGTAGTAGTTCTGACAAGAGCAATATTTAGATTATTTTTCCCTTTTCCTGTTAAGAAATTAGAACAGAATTGAAAATCACCCCTCTGACCAGGAAGCAGTAAAAAAAGTCCCTTGTGAAGCCACTGAACATCCTTTTGAAAAGATAAATCTGACTGATATACCATAAAGATCTCTGTAAAGAGGTAAATTTAAATTTCACTTTAGAATAGACACTGGACTGCTTCAAGAATTCTGGTAATGGCTTATAAGAGACCTTTGAGAACTGATCTGCAAGTGCACAGTGACTTTTTTTTCTTCTCACTGTGGTTATGGTCAGATACCAGCCAACAAGGATAGTATACAGAACCTTCTTAGATGTAATGCTTTGCCAAACAGAAGACTTCACCCCATATTTTCTTCATCCCTATGCTTTGCATGGAGACAACCACATTTGTCACTGTCACATACAAAACTTTTTAAAATGAACATGGAAAAATAGAATGAAAAAATCAGGAAACAGGAAAATACTTTGCTACAAGCAGATAAAGTTCAGTCTAGAACTCACCCTAGTTTTCTTAGATAGTGGGCAAAAGCATGGGTGGGTCACAAATCAAAAGTCAGCCTTAGATCTTTCTTCCTTTACTGAGTTTTATGATGATTTTTCCTTACACTCTTTACATTCTCAGAATTCTTATATTCTTCAAATACAACTGCCCCAGATTTAAGCCCAATTTTTTTGTAATATGCAATTGCAAAAGCATAATAATATTCAGAAAGTAAATTTGTTCTTCATCTAATCCTGAGTTCAGCTCTGGAGAGATCAAGGACAAGAAGCTGTCTTATGAGATTGTATCATGAACACAAACAAACAAACTCTCCAATACTAAAACACACAGAATCAAAACTCCCAGAAATTTCTCTAACAAGTCCAATGTACAGAGAATAACTGTTTGTTAAAATAACTGAAAAAGATGAGTTTTCCATGCAGGTTAAAAACATAGCATTAGTAATGTTCAACAAATTAAAAAGTTTTTTTACGAGACCCTTCTAACAAGGACATTCCATTACAGCACTTCAAATCCTCTCTCCAGACATAAACTAATGCTACATGGAGAAGGTGAAAGGTAATGACTATTCATCTTTTACTTGCAATAGAAGAAGTAGGATCATGAAACAGGATGATGAGAATCTAAAACAAACAGGAAGTAGTTTTTAAAGTAGTACATAATTATATTGTGAAACTCATTGTTACAGAATACCACGTATGACAAAAAGAAATTCACAGAGGAAAGGATTAATTAGGGGTTATTACCCAACAAGTTACAGACAGAACATCCCTTGCAGAAATCCTTTTATTAGACTTTGATGGAATTTCGATAGGTATTCTAAAAAAGTGCCTATCCAAAAGAACATTCTAGACACGTCCTGGGAGAGAAACTGAAATGTGCTGTTGACTGTTGACTCTATAAACAATACATGCCATAATTACTCTTGAATTACTCAGACATATAAAGACATTAAAATAAACTATTCCCCTGTACTGTTTTATCTGAGCACAAGGATTCCCTGTGACTTTTTATTTCAAATTAATTCAGTTCTCAGATATCATCCTTATTTTCCTACTTCTCTAAATACAATCTTATATATTCAGTGTACTGCATTCTGTATTTA